GGATAATTAACACTCTTATTGTAAAGCTAACCACTCAAGTTCAAGCGCTATCTCCTTCCTCTCATCTCAAAAAAAAAAAAGAAAAAAGAAAAGTTTTCTATTTTGTTGTTACTACCTAACTTATCACTATATTGACAAATATATAATTTACTATTTTCTTATAACCAATCTTTTATTTTTCCTTTATGAAGCTAAATTAAGCAACATATTATGACAATACCTTTTTTCTTTTTTACTTCTTCAATTTTTATTTATCCAGGGAAACAATGTTTTCCCTTAAAAACCAGTCTTTTCATTTTCTTTCCTCTCCTCTGTACTCTTTTAAATATTTTACTCAAACATGATGTTAATGAATTCAGTAAACACCAGTTGGACTATCACCGTTGTGCAGCAGGCCTGATCGAAACACGTGCATATTGCAAAGAAAAAGAATCCCAAAAAATTCAACTCGCTTCCACATTGAGTGAACTAAACAAACACTTGGAGTGCATTCTCCATTGCAAGCAATATATTGTAAGACAAGAAGAAACCAAAGATTATATAACTAAGATCGTACCCGTTGAGTATACGAGTGACGAGCTTGCATAGTTCACGCGGGATTCTAAGTGCCAACAACTTGAGATGAACATCAAACTTACTTTCGTCCAACATTGGAAACTTTTTTTCCAGAGAATCAAATCCTCTATCCTGTAATGGTTTCAATTAACTTCCATAAATAAGTTCCAGACAAGAAATTGCAATTGCACTAACGTTAATAAGTAAGTGATAAGCAGTTTGAAACTACAACTTCGACATGTAATATGAAGAAAATATAACTGGCTCAAGTGCTATGAGGAAACAGAACCTAGAGTCAAAGAGATATACCTCGATAAACTCTTTAGCAGTAACTGATGAAGCAAATGAAATATGAACAGCGACCTAAGAGAATTAAGCACTGGAAGTAGGGTTTCGAGAACAGTTTTTTTTTTTTTTCTCAGTAATCGAACTACAGGAACTCGGAACTCCTGAATTCTACTCAGTACGGCGTCGTTTGAGATGCAGCAGACATAAATGGAGAGCGCTCGTTCCCTTCATACAGTGAACTTAACCAAAATGAAGGGTGCAATATATTCCAAATGCTGCACCCATTTCAGTTGACCCGAACCAACGTAGTTCGGGTTTCGGGTCGTGTGTTTGGGCCTGCATAAGTAATGGGCCTCGTAAAGTGGAGTTTCTGTGGATGCAAAAGTTGGAAAATGTAGGTTATTATAAAATTAGTTTAGAATGTAAAAACTATTTATTCTGGTTAATATTTAATATTTGTTTGTTTCAGAAAAATTTGTGAATTTAAGTTAAGTTGTTAAAAATTATGATAATTGAAAAAAAAAATTATAGATAATTAATAAGTGGGATATAATTTAGAAAACAAAAAGTATGATAAATTAGTGTTATACGTGGTAATAAAGTATTATTAAATACTAAATGCTGAATACGGTGCGTATAACATCAAAATATACAATGGCGTTCAATTTGGAATTAGGAAAATCCTTACAGTGACGATATATATATATATATATATATATATCTTTAAAATATAAATTTATTAAAAATAACTTTTTAAAAGTTGATTTGTCGCTGTAATGGGTGGAAAAATGTCAATCTCAATTAGCCAAAAAAAAAAAAAAAAAAAAAAAGTAAGATATGACAAAATATTAACTTGGGAAGAAATCAAATTCTATTGTTATTCCTCTTTTATGGATAGGGATGATGACCATTAACGATTCCATCATTTTTTTCATTGTCACTGACCCAATTTGATACACACACACACAGAAATAAATAGATGGCTGATCGAAGGCTGTATAAGATAACTCATCTCCTGTCTGACTAATTTCTTCTGGGGAAAATTTTGTTTCTTGAGTTCACATTATTACATTACTCAACAACATGATGAAGAAAGCAGAATAACCAACCAGACCGAAGGCTTTTTCTTTTTCTTTTTCTTTTCTATTTACAGATACAAAATTTCCCACTTCCATTTCCATTTCCAACCCCAAAATCCCCTTGCTAATTTCTATAGTCTATGTACATAGCCCCCCGGTAGTAGCAAAACTCTTCCAAATCACGATCTGGAGATAGCCAAAACGCACCGGATTGCCGATTGCCGATTATTGATTTTTAACGACGACGAAAAACGCTGCCGTTCCAGCGCCTCCGGTTGAGGTACTCCACGTGGACCAATCAGCCTGCTTCTTTGGTGAGAATCGAAAGTCAGTCGGGAATACTGTGGTCGTGCCAGCAAAGGAGCATAGAGATGCAGCGGCCGAGGATGTAGAATCGGGTTTTCTGCTGTTTGACCATGAGCAAACAGCGTTTCCGGAAACCGGTTTTCCGGGCGATTTTGGGTTGCTGAGAGGAGAGGAAGTAAGGGAGAGTGGTTGCAGCCATGTATATTTATGGGCCGGGTATTTTCTTCCCGAAGATTAAATGAAACAGAAGGGGGGTTATTTATACCGAATAAGTTGAGCTTCCCGAGGAAGATGACATTGGTTTTGGTTGGTCCCACGCTTTAGTTTTGACTAGTTTCCTCGAAACTACCACCCCTTTTTATGTTTTTACGATTTTGCCCCTGCACCTGCACTTTCTCTGTTTTTGAACTTTTTCAATATTCTAAAGAGGAAATGCCAAAATTTTTCACACACAATTTTTAATTGACGCTAAAAGATACGCGCGCGTGTGTGTGTAGAGGGGATAACTGGCAATTGCAGAAGAGCAGTAATGCGGTCAAAGCCTACGTGGGGACTATGTTGACCAACTTGCTTCTGTCCGACATCAACAGTCACACGTGGCAATTTTGTCTGTATTCACCCACGTTTTTCTTTTTCCAAGTTTCTAGATAGAGATGGTTTGGCGGGCGGCCCAAGTTCAATTAATGTCGTCAATACTCATCTCGGGAGAATATCAAAACAAATGGCGCCCAAGGACGTGGCCATACTGCCGTGCATGTGCCAGCCAAAGCTTTAAATAAAATATCATATCGTGATATACTGGAAAACAGAATTTTATCGCCGACTTTTATACATTCGGTTTTATATGTTCTTGAAAATTTGGAGTATTTATTCTACGGTTGGCTGCCGCTGCCACTGCCACTGCCACTGCCACTGCCACGTCAGACACACATCTAAATCATTATTCCGGGGGGCCCACGTTATCCTCCAATAGCGTAGAGAAGACAACAAACAGGCTTTACTTTTCTTTTTTGTGTAAATTATATTAATTACATAAAATCTCCTGAATTTTAAGCCTGACTGCAATAGAAGACACCAATAATAATTTACTTTTGAAAACCTAATAAATTACTCTATTAATATCTTCCTAGAGGCACGAAGTAATATTTACAATATATTGTTAACATTAGAAAAACAACGTATTGTTTTAATTAACTTCTTTAATTACTCTATTAGTACCTTTTTAAAAAATTAAAAATAATAGTTATGATAAATATATATTTTTTATTCCTTACTAAAATACCTCATTTATTTTTTACATTAGTACTTTTATCTAAATTCCTAATATCTTATTTTTTTTAATATATATTTTATTTGGTTTAAATGGTTTAAAATATTCTAATGTCTTAAAGACATCTTTCAGCAATAACTTCCAAAGGATATTTTTCCTTAAAAAGGTAGTTTTGTTTATGCTACGAGTCAAAATTTTTGGGCTGCTTGGATAACTTTTCCACGCCAAGCCATATAAATTTAGACAAACATCTGAATCACGGCAGTAAGACCCATCACAATATTTCAACAAATGACTCGTGCAAACAAAAGAAATTGAGGCTTTTTTCAAGGATGAATTACTCACGTCTTTTTATCCATTACAGTTACTTTGATCCAACCATTAATAATTTTTTATTAAAAATATCATAATTTATTAATATAAAACATTATTTAATCACCATAATATTACAAACACAGTAATAAAAAATAAATTTTAAATTATACTAAATTAAACATAAAGAACTAACTACCGGGTGGGACGTATATTACACTTACAAAATAATAAATTTCAATTTTTACTAAAATTTACACTCTTAACATATACAGCTGTTAGTGTAAGAAATTAAGGCTTTCCATTGCCTGTACACGCTCAATACATTGGTATTTGATTGTTGAAATAAATATTGAGTATTTTTTTTCAGAATAAATCAAGAATATTTACAAGATTCATCTCAAAATTTAACTTAAATATGCTTGTGTTATTATTTAAAAACTTATACCTGGTTTAATAAAAAAATTATTTAATGAAATAGAAATAAATTAATAATTTTTCAAGTGAGATTAAAACAACGTATTTCAAATTCCATCTAAAACTAATAAAATGTAAAACACATTTTTCAGTCACCCTTGAAATTCTTTATTAACTCAATATTTTCTAATAAACTTTCATCCAACAAAAGTAAATTATACATGAATTTTTTTTTTAAAAAAATAATGCATCCAAAAAATTTCTATTTTATTCCAAACTTAGCCATAAAGCACTGACAACAAAAACTAATAAATTTTAAAAGGAAAAGAGCTTCTAGACTTGTGCACATGTTTATAACACAATGTGCTTATAGAACTATTTAAAGGTATCAGCTCCACATCTTTGAAAAGCACACGGACATTTCCACATCATGCAAAGGAATGTTCTTTACGGCACATCTCTGCAGCCTTATTTAAACTAACTTAAATTACATTGAAAATGCAACATACTCTTTTCATTGTTTTCTTACCGCAATGAGTATGATGAAGCTTATGATTTTTATGTTTTCTTGTGATAATATTTGTCAAGTAGCTTTTCAGAGTACTGTCCGAAGGTCAGAACACCATTAGACAGTATCATCTGAAGAGCAACAGAAAACAGACAAATCAAATTTCAATTAGCCGACGACCATAGCATGCATACATGCTGAATTAGCTACCAAAGCCTAAAGCAAGAATAAGAGGGCATGACAAGGCAAAAAGAGTGACATATAACTGTAGTATGAAAAGTGAATGCTGAGGGTGAATTCTTAACACTTTCCTTCTCTGAACTATGTTAGATAAGGGTGTCTATAATTTGATCAATTTGAAGTGGAAAACAGAGTGCCTTGAAACAAAAAAATAATTACGCCAAACCAAACAAAATCTGTATCACTCTTGCTCCCAAATTGAGAACAAAAGTGAATGCTGGTTCCATTCAAAGGATTTCCTTGTTTACAAAAAATGCCTATTCATAATCTCTATTTCCTTCTCTTTTATAGCAATGTTTTCTCCAATCTCATAATCAATGTAACAGAAAATATAACTAATCTCCAACTAACTTCCACTAATTAAACAAACCAACTAATTATTTCTAACAAATCCTAACCAATATTAAATTCAGATCCCGCCATGATCTTATTTCCATGTTCTAGCAAAATTTTACCATTTCTCTTCCTTCTTGACCAAAAAAATCCAATCAATAACAAGCCAAGCAGTGACCTCTAATTACCGATTCACTTTGCACACCATTACCAACTCATTAATCCCCCAGAACCTTTTAGACTATAAATTTCCCAAGTAACTTATTGTCAATCAATGTTTATGTACAGAATAAATCATGACCTTGTAAAATATTTTATGAAATTCAATGCATTTTTCGTAATGCTTTTATAGTTTTGTCGCATTTTGGTAGTCTTTTTTGTGTATATCGAGGTTTATTTTTATGGGTCACTTCTGTTTTCAGTAAAGGCAATTTATTTCCAAATTACATTAATTTAATTTGAGATAGTGTATTATTTCACTTCTACTTTTGATGCCTTTATGTTCAGAATAACTCTAATCATAAAAGCTAAGATTTACAAATGAATGCCATTAGAGTTTCTTCTTTGAGAACCAGTGTAACGCTTCAGACACATACCTCTTTATGAATATGCACATCATTTGGAAAATTAAGCTTCTCATTCCTACGAAAAAAAAGAAGGGCCTTAGTTAGCAATGACCTTTTTGGTTGGCTTTTTTCTTTTGGTGGGGGGAGACATTTAAGCAGGATCCCCACTGAGCAGATATTTATCAACATCCTCAAAAAACAGAAAGATATTTGTCAACATGGCTCCAGTAGCAATATTGATATTTTCTACCATCAGAAAAATTATCCAGGGACAAAATGATCAATGAGAAAAGTTTACAAGTACCAGTCAGGTTGCATAAAGAGTGCAAAAGTCGATCGCTCAATACCACGAGCTCCTTCTCCTTTCGGTGCCTAACAAAAATCAGTGAATCAACATAGATGATATCTTGTACTATTAGAGTAGCAATAGAAGAAAAGAAGAGCAAAAAGAAAAATAAAGGCAATTACATCCAATGGGAATGAATGGCTTAGATTAAATAAGCAGCCATGTTGTCCCCATTTTCCTAGAGGGGTGCTGTAACTAAATTGCACTCTTCAAGACAATTTTGATATCTCAACTCCAAATCAAAAACATAACCAAATCCTCATTTGAAATTGACCAGGAATGTAGTTGGAAAAGAAATCCTTAATGCCACCCGACCAAAACCTCAAAGGGAATTTTGTCAATGGACGTAGAAGGTATTAGCAAAACCAAATGCCAAACAGCAGCCATCTGACATACAAAGACTAAAAGCCCCTTCAATTCCACAAATCACTTGTTGGAAACCTATCCTTATGAAATTATTCTAGCTTACATTTCTGCTAACAAAGTAGCCCAGAATTAGCCATAAAAAGAGCTTTTAGTTCATGATACCACCCCCTTATCATATAAGAGCATTTGGCATCATTACTTATTTATTTATGTGCTACATATTTTATTATCTACATACCGGGATCAGAATCATCAAAATAGAAAAATGAATTATGTACTCGAGACATGATTAATGCATTAAACATCAAAGGACTTGAATTCATGGTGCTCTTATTATGATAAAGATATACAATATTTACTGGAAATATTCAAAGTTATTAGAAGAGTGTAATAACCAGGCCCAAGGGAGAGGAGAAAATCCAGGCCCAGGCCAGAAGAGAAAAAAAAAAGAAGCCCTAGAAGAAAGAGGGACAGGGCTGGGGAAGCAAAGGAGAGAGGAAGATTCGGCTGACAGCAGCAGCAGCAGAAGAAGAAGAAGAAGAAGAAGAAGAAGAAGAAGAAGGAGAAGGAGAAGGAGAACGAGGGAAGTGTGGTGCGCGGCGTTCCAGATCCACTAGAGATCCGTGCAAAGCCGAAAATCAGGGGACCGGAGAGAGAAGACCGAAACTTGACCGCCGGAGAAGATGACCGGAGTGCAGCGGATAGTCGCGTGATTTTGCGAATCCTGGCGCTTTTCAACACAATTTCACCATATCCATCCCGGATCCGAATGCGTGAGCGGTTCTGTGGAGACTTCCGGTTAGTTTGCGGTGGTGAGTGGGGACGGTGGCGCATGGTGGTGTGTGTTAGGCGCGTGTGGTAGTGCACAATAACCCCGGCGATCGGAATCACATGTCCAAGGTTAAAATCGATCTGCTTTTGTGCTATATTTAATTTCAAAAGTGCTCGTCGTTTAACGTACGTATTTTTTGTTGTAAACGAGGAAACAATCGAGTGGTAGGCAAGATTTAGAGGAGACCGTAAACCCAAATCAATAAGAATTTTAACACTTTTTTCGACCAGACTATAAGTAAGGGATTGAGTTAGTCTCATTTTAAAGGATCTCATATTTTATAAAATTTTACTTTATTTAAAATGAATTATATACAGACTTTACAAATTGTTTAAAATGTCTAATATGTTTCCCATAAACTCATCATGTTTATGAATGTTATCTTGTGTGCATGTTGAATGGATGAATATTGCTAAATTGTATGTATGCCTGATATACTTATATAAGCATTGTATAGATAATTTAACGTTTATAATATAAAATGAGAACATGTATGCACTTAAACTATGCATATATAGATCACAGCGGAAATAATACGGTGTGTGGTTTGGATATATGATCACATACAAAATATTGTATAGGCGTTGATTATTAGTATTTATAGTGTTTGCTTAATATGTTGAACGTGTGCTTGATATATATATATATATGTATGTATGTTGTTGCGTATACATGGATATAGGTGATGAATTGTATGAATATATGTATGAACTATATGAAAGGTCTGTGTGCAAACAGAGTATTTAAATAAATTTTTATGGCAATGCATATGTATGGGAGTCGGTAGGTAAATGTGATGATTATTTTTTGATGATTATGTACGATGAACTCTATTGTGGATATGACAAATATTTAAGGGCGCTCACCTAGGTTGAGTGGTGAGAACGACCGATATTTTATGGCGCCATATAGGTTGAGTTATGGAACCCGACTGATATTTATAATAGAGTAATCAAATAAATGTACATGACAATACGCATGTATGTGAGTTGAGAGTTAAATGTGATGATTATTTTTTGATAATTATTTACGGTGGACCCCTACTATAGGTACAACAAATATTTACGACGCTTATCTAGCTTGAGGGGTGAGAACGGCTGATGTTTATGGCGCCAATATAAGTTGAGATATGGGGATGATCAATATTTATGGCGCTCATCTAGGTTGAAGGGTGAGGACGGTCAATGTTTATGGCGCCTATATAGGTTGAGAGGTGAGGACGACTGATATTTATGGCGCTCACCTAGGTTGAGAGGTGAGGACGGCCGATGTTTTGTTATGAAATATTTTGAGTATCCACATGTAAAAAGAATCCTTATATGATACTGGTAAAAAGAAGCATCACGTAATGAAATTATTAAGTAAAACGAAAGAAAGTGATAAGTGAATATTATCTTTCGAAAAGATTAGAAGAATCTATGATAAATTGAATATGACTGTGATGTGATATTAATATGTGATATATGTATGTAGTAATCACTGAGTGGTACTACTGTTAAATTAGTAGTTATGTGAATGTGATTTTAAAATATTTGTGATGTTAAGAAACCATATATGCATGAGAAGTCATTGGGATATGTGAAGATAAAGTTAGTAGTTTATCAGACTATAAAATACTGTGCGATATGTGAAATTATTGTTATGTTTGGGTCTTCATTTTAAATAAATCTGAATCTGTTTTATAAATTTGGTGTGATAAGTGTATACATGTTTTTATTATGAGCATTGCCTATTTTCTTACTGAGCACGTGAAACTCACCTCAAGTTACACCTCCTCCAGTATAGTTATGATCAGGAGCACATTCAAGGTCGGAAGAAAACTCTGGATGAACCTTTAGCGATTTTGGGAGTATTGTTTTATAAAATAGATTTAATTATATTATAACAATGCAATGTAAAGAGTTTTTGTTAGTTTCATGATCTGTAACTCCGTACAGGAAATATATGATTGAATTTTAAAATTTAAAATATTGTCATGCAGATTTATCAGATTATATGCATAGATTAGCACTCATTTCTTTATAGAGAAAACGAGTCGTTACAAAGAGTATATTTCCCACTTAAGAGTTTGATGTGGAAACTAGAAAACTCAAATAAGTTTCTTCCTCTCTTTTGCTAGATAATGGCTAGCCTTTATTAGGTTAGGTTAGTACCAATACTAGTTGCATCTAAAAAGAATCCAGATTGAAGTACCTTATATAGAAGCCTTTTTCCTTTTTACGTTTTTAATGGCTTCAATTAAGACAATATTTTTATTTTTATTTCTTGTAAAGTATTCTTGTGAGGTGCAGCGTGACCTAGCAAAAGGTTAGCCATTATCTGCACTTGTCAATAAATTCTACAGATGGAACCGGTAAATGATTTAGCAGGAGGGAAGGTTAGGCATATTTGACTCAGCTAGCAGTATTTTCATTCTTATTTCTTGTTTATTTCCATTTGGCCAGCTGGAACTAGAATTCTGTTAGTCTGTTATGTATTCCTTGTCTGATATTGTACCACTCACCAGAAGCTAGTGGAAGAAACGGAGGATGTAATGGGGTGGTAGTAACGCATATCGGAAAATTCATCAAAAAATATTATCTAACGATAAATCACTAAATTATCATTGAATATCCTTCTCCTCATTCTCTCATCTTCCTTCTCAGTCCGCTTTTTTCTTATCTTCCTCTTCTTCTCTCAATCGAAACCCTAAATTCCTACTTCTGATCTCAGTCAAACAGACGACACACTACAGTCAACGTGTACGTCTAAGGCTCTGATAGAAACATAAGAGAAAAATGACTGAAATGACCAAAATTGAATAATTTTAGGACCAGATTACAGGTGAACACTATCTGAATCGAGAATTACAGTTAAACACACCGCTTATGATGATGAAAAACTGGGCACAAAATTTTTGAAACAAAGACAAGATAGAAGGAAGAAGGTTACCTGGACACAATGAGGTGTTGCACACAGATAACCTCTTGACAGTATTTCAGTGGTCTCGCCAATTTGATATGCTATTTCATCATGTCCAAAGACAACCTAATGCATAGAGGCAAATACAGATGTTACCATGAGAAGCACTATAATATCCTCATTAATCCTATCAAACACAAAAGAAGTTATGTCCTTCAAGTGATTTATAAACTGTGTGCAGTGCAAATTGAATCCTTAGTTGTGACATCCAATTTATTTGAGCAGTCAGTCAACAGATCTGGAAAAGAGGAAGATGTTTAACCGAATGAACTCATTGTGTAAAGTCAACATTCAAATGAATGGTATGCACTTCAATACCACACACGGGACTGAACACTAATTTCCCACATCCTGTGTGTTCCATGCTGAAGCACTATTTTCTACACAATCTCACTATGCAGATCTTGTCTGTTCTAATCATGTATGGTTTCCATGTTCAAGAGACCTAATCATACAAGTGCTTCCATGGTCTACAAGTAGAACTTCCCACAAGAACTTTTATTCTATTTTTCTACTCTTCCAAGGAAAAATCTGGAAACTCATCCTCAAAGATCACTAAATAGATAAAATCATTTCAGTTCCAAATCATAGCTTCATATCCTGTCAAGCTTTACAAGTATATATATTCTTTCTAGATTTGTGTTTTCGAGAGCTATCAATATGTTAAGAATGAGATCTCAGCATTTGTTCAAAATCAATCTATCCCAAGAAACAAGCCTGATTCTCAAAGAATAACATATATCATGATAGTCAAAAGGATAACAAATATAAAGGAAAGCTACCACTAACATAATACAATATGTCAAGGAAACATTACCAACAATTTTTTTTTAAATATATATTTTTTTTAAATAACCAACATTAATTATGTCATTTCTTGCATTTATGCATTCCTCAAATATCAAGACCAAGAAGATGTACTTTAACTATTTGATTGGCACGTGTTCTTATGTACAAGCCGGCAGCACTGTCAGGGCAAGGTATTTCCGCTGAGTCCCTTGTAAACATAGCACAGGTCAGGCCTGACATATTAAATGAATCATAGTAAGCCATAAAATATAGCGATATCTTAGGAAAAAGAAACTTCTTATTATCTATATGATTATCCAAACAATCAAATGTGTCTTGGCATAGAGAACAAGATGCAAATATTTGATAGGAAATCACACACTAAATATAAAGGGCATAATAATGTACAGTACTCTTCAAACCACGTTAAGGAAATTATGCAAAAAGTGGAAAGAACTTGCTAGAAAAATTTCAAACATAAATAAAAAGATTGCCAGCCTGCTTATGCAATAGAAACAAATATATTTTAACATCATATCAGAAGCTACTAAATGAAATAACTTTCATTAGATGTCACTTGGAATAACAGCTGGCCGAAAAAGTAAACAAGTTGAATAGATAGACTGTTCCAAAAGTCAACCGCCGAGAGAGAATAACATCAGAACTATATAGAACGCTGGCAAAGCACTAGAAAGTATAAGATATCAATTACTTCCACTAGACTTAGGAAAGACAGAAAACTTGTGGCAGTAATTTTGTGAACTGAATACTTAGGTTAGTTCTTGAAATTCTTATTTTGATTGCAAAAACATGGAAATCATTTAATATAGATGGCAAAAGAAATGATAATATGCATCAATCTAGATCAATACAATCTTAGAATTACTTTCAACCAGCCATTGGTATATCTAGAATTTGTAGCAAATTTCTGCACTCAGGAGGCCAGGAGCACAGGAAATAGATGCTGCAGTTTGAACATTTAGATTCTGATTCACCAAATTTGCTAAATATATTATAAACAAACTCCAGTATGTCACCAAAGCAAAAGCTTCTTTTCTTTCAAATTTCATAAACATGCATGGTTTTTAATTAAATTATGAAAAATGGGCAAAGACGGTAAGCAGAAAAAAAATCTGGGAAGAAGAATTGCTCTCCCATATTTCTCTGAGATTACCATAAGCAGAATGAGAAAATGGACCAATCACCTGTCAGTGAACCATGGTCTGTGTGCCATCCACACCAAGATGAAATGGAACCACTAACCTGGTTATGATCACTGCAAGAAAAAATCATCCTCTATTTTTTCAATAATCACCTCCAAGAGCAAAATAGCAAAAATAACTTGAAGTGTCTACAACAAACACGTCCTTTTGCCTAAAAGAAACTGTCAATTTAAGAGTGATTAAGATTCCAGTTGGAACCAGTCACCACTACCACTATCTGCCTTGGGATTTAAAAGCCAAACATTTTATCTATCAATTCCGGTCACAGGGACAATGGTTAGTAATCAGTGCTTGAAAGCCAGAAACTCTACCTATCATTGCTGTCCAGAGGCACAATGATTACCTTCAACCATTCCACTCCATGTCATATTTCAAAATAGGCACACAGCTTATCAATAAATTGCGAAAGAAGAAAATAGAACTGAATACTGCAAAGAGTAAAGCTACTTAGGCAGAAAGGCTAGGATAAGAATGCGAATTTTACTACCTGCATTCCACTGGAAAATAGTAAAGCAGACGGCCTTTATGACACCGAGAGTGTAGCATATCTTTTCAAGGCTTCACTTTCCGGCATTTTCATCCCTTTAGACACTGCTCAAGTGTACATGAAAAATTCAAGGGTCAAAAAACAACTGTACTAATCAGAAGAACATTGTTATATAGCTTAAAGAACACATGGGAAATTTATTACAAACGGACGGATCAACAGCTAAAAGGGAAACTAGTAATACAGTATTTAGTTCAACATTTACT